AGTTAAGAGCCGGCGAAACAGGATGAGAGCTAGCGGACTTATTACCTGGGCTGCGTGCTCAGGCCTCGACAGACCAAAATCAAACTAGTGACAGCATCGGTTAAGATGTACAAATACTTAAATAGTCTAATGAATTAAATCACAGTTCTGTACAAATATACATACTTAGTCTAATGAATTAAATCACAGTTCTGTACAAATATACATATACGTGCACACTTACATAATTTTTAAAGGAAGTTATTTTAAAAGCCAGTCATTCTTTGTCAATAATTCCTTCTCTTAGCACCATCGTGGGGGAGGGGAGATAAAAATGTTTTTTAAACAAATCCCCAAGTTTCTCGTATCCTGGTCTATGGAAAGACAAACTTTTGGCACACCACTAAACGGTGTTCACACTGCCCATTCTCCTAAAAGCCAAAACATTTGCTTATAGAAATCCTTCAAATTATAATTTCAGAATAGGCAAGAAGCTATTCAACATAAAGGGAATTAATATTAATGCCTCATTTTTAAGAAAGAAATAACAACTATCCCATTTGTAACCCACATATCCTTAGAATTTAGTTTTACTATGTCTGAGAAGTTTCAAAGTATGTAGTCTTTGCTTTCTTTTACTTTAGTGTAAAATTAGCTGTGGGCAGGGAGGGAAAGCAGACTATTTTCTGGTACCAAAAAACAAAAACAAACAAACAAGCAAAAAATCCCAAATGAGGGGTGCCTGGGTGGCTCAGTCGGTTAAGTATCTGACTTCGGCTCAGGTCATGATCTCATAGTTTGTGGGTTCGAGCCCCACATCTGGCTCAGTGCTGACAGGGTGAAGCCTTCTTCGGATCCTCTGTCTCCCTCTCTCTGTGCCCCTCCCCTGCTCACCTGCTCTTGCTCTCTCTAAAAAATAAACATTTTAAAAAAAACCCACAAGTGCCTATATAAAATATTTTAAAAATGATCTATTGTTGCACAAAAGATATATAAACTGCTTCCCAAATAACACAGCCTCTAATGAATCAGTGGGTCTAGGCACTGAGCACCAATAGCTACTAACATTGCAGCATGAGCCAACCAAGCTTACCTGCTTCTAGATTAAGGAGTGGGGCACCTGGGTGGCTCAGTCACTTGAGCGTCTGACTGCCGCTCAGGTCATGATCTCACAGTTCATGAGTTCGAGCCAGAGCTGGGTCCTGTGCTGACAGCCTGGAGCCTGCTTAGGATTTTGTGTCTCCCTGTCTTCCCCTCTCTCTGCCCCTTCCTTTCTCACTCTCTCTCTCAAAAATGAATAGTAAACATTAAAGAAAAAAATGTTTTTAATGAGATGGAAGACAGCACCTAGGGCACCCTGATTCTGACCAAGCCTCATCTTGATCCCACTATGAATTTTCAGCAAATACAGAGAAACTCATTAAATTACATTGCAGAGAAGCAGCCAGTAAAATCCCAACTATGGAAATGGTATAGAACAACCAATTGCTTCAACAAACAAACTACAAGGAAAACAAAAGAAAAGAAATAAAGGGGGAATCTACAGAGCAAAAGAAACTTAAAAGATACATCAATCAGTCACAATGTATGGACCTTATCTAGATCCTGATTCCTATCAACAAACTGTTAAAGAACTATAAAATTTATGGGACATCTAGAAGTTTCAATATTGACTGGTTATTTGATTATACTGAGGAATTATTGCATTTTCAAGCTTAAAAGAGCCCTTATCTTTTAGATACATATACTGAAATATTCATGGATTATAATGACATGACATTTAGGATTTGATTGAAAATAATATGGGAGGTGGTGGTGTGAGGGTGTAAGTAGATGAGGTTAGGGTGAAACAAGATGGGCCAGGAGCTAATAACTGTGGAAGCTGGATACAATTGCTTAATTCTGTATATGTTTGAAAGCTCTCATAATAAACAGCGAAAATAAAGACTGACCTTGGAACTAGTTCACACAATCATGAAAGGTCACGTACGAATTTATTTACTCTTAAAATTAGTAAAAAACGTCACCTTCTTTTTTATACATAAAATTTTTTTTAATGTTTATTTAAAAAAATAACACTATTTATTTTGAGAGGGGGGAGGGGCAGAGAGAGGGAGACACAGAATCCAAAGCAGGCTCCAGGCTCTGAGCTGTCAGCACAGAGCCTGACGTGGGGCTCGAACTCAGGAACTGTGAGATCATGACCTGGGCTGAAGTCGTATGCTTAACCAGAGTCACCCAGGCTCCCCAAAACATCACCTGCTTAACTAGTAGTGATGTATAGCTACGTGTGTATACAACAAATATCTGACCTACTGTCAAATTGAGTGTTAAGAAAATGTGGTTTCTGTTTCACCTTATGCATCACAAAAACGACTGCTTTACTCACTGTTAATTGCTTCATCGGGCCTTTGTCTTTATCCAGAAAATGAAGAACGCTTTATTTTAAATCGACAAATTAAATATGCCCTCTAACACTTATCTGAAACACATCTTAATCTGTCCTGGCATCCTAAAAATTAAATCCTTAGGAAAATCGAAGCTCTCCAGAGAAGACTATACCACAATGGGATTCTTTTTAACCCCGAGGGATCCTTTTGAAAGAAAAAAAAAAGATTAAGCAAAGGCAAATTTCTAGATTGGCTGTTGTGCTTTCAGAACAAATTAAAAGCCAAAAGAGAACAGAGCTGAGGCACCCAGGAAAGGATGCTTAACCTAGGGAGATCCGGGTTCAAATTTCACTTTCCAACTGCCTGCTATGAAGCTGACTGCTGAAACTCTGTAAGGCTCCATGTCCTCCTCTGCAGAAATGGGTGTCACAGCTGCCACTCACAGGGCTCCAGGGACAATTAAATGGAAGAGCCTGGACCAATAGGGCCTAGCTCCACTGGCCTGGGGCTACCTTTCCAGCTCACTGTGGCTCTTCCCTCCTACATAACCTGCCCTGGAGATCGACAGTCCTACAACTCAGCTAAATGAATTTTACATGGCTCAGAGCATTAATTATGATAGCTAATAAATTAGCTATTGCCAACACTTAAAAATCAGGAGAGGAGGGGTGCCTGGGTGGCTCAGTCGGTTAACTGTCCGACTTTGGCTCAGATCATGATCTCACGGTTTGTGGGTTCGAGCCCCGTGTCGGGCTCTGTGCTGACAGCTAGCTCAGAGCCTGGAGCCTGTTTCAGAATCTGTGTCTCCCTCTCTCTCTGACCCTCCCCTGCTCATGCTGTCTTTCTCTCTCTCTCTCAGAAATAGATAAAAACATTAAAAAAAAATTTTTTTTTAAATCAAGAGAGGAGAAATGCAATGTAGAGTTCTGACTTCTTTTTTAAAATTGCTGGGTGAGGTTTGGTTTTCCAGGGTCCCCATCACTCCGTGCTTCTTTACACCTGGTTCTGCAGGCTGATTCCTGATCCCCCACTGGATTAATGTCCTTCCTTCACCCCTGCCCTTTCCCCCTCCTGTGCCTCTCCCTGCCTGGCAAATTTCTCACCACCCTTCATGGCCCAACTCCAGCGCCACCTGTCACCTCCTCCACCTTTCCATGCCACGGCACAGCCCCTCCACGACAGCAAGCATCATCACACTGTCTTGGCACTAACCTGTCCCCATGGTCTGACTCCTCTACTGGGTTCTCTGGAGGAAGGGACCCTGTTGCTATTGCCTCTATGTCCCCAAGGCCAAGCAGAAAGCCTGACCTAGATAATGTAGAATTCAGTAAGTGTCTCCTGAATGTGTGGAAGGAAATTAGAGCTAAAATATTACAAAAATGTAAAAATTTGTATCACAGCTTGTTCCGACAGTTACCAAATAAAGGGGTCAAGGACTTTAGAACAGAACAAGCTTCCATCTGCATACATATTTCACAAGTTAGTTAGAAGTCACTAAATAAACTGACAGCAGAAGCAAAAGTGGGCAGGGTCATTCATTTATTCACTGAACTGATATCATTCAGTACTTACTGTGTGCTTTCTAAGTACTGGGGATAAAGCAGCGGACAGACCAGACAACTACCTGTTTTCATAAAGCTACATCCTAGCAGAGGAGACAAAATAAACACAAATAAATAGAATGGTTTCAAACCAAAGTGAATGCTAGGAAGAAAATTAAAATAATGAGATAGAACGACTAAAGGGAGAAAGAGAGTGGTCAAGGAAGGCCTTGTAGAAAATGACACATCTAACCAGAGGAAAGACCAGAAAGAGCCAGCTGTGCAAAGTAGCTGGAGACAGCTCCAAGCACTGGAAACGAAAGTGCAAAGGTCCTGTGGTTAACGGGGCTGCGCGGTGAAGGCAGGCGAGAAGATGGGTGGGATAGGAGAGCAGTGCTCTGGGTGGTGGGAGTGGTAGGCGAGGTGGGCAGGGCCTGCTCCTGCACTGCTAGGCACTGAATGTGCAATGACAAGGCACCAGAGAAACACAGGGATGGGGGTCTCTGGGTGGATGCGGAGGGGGTTCGTGCCCTACTCACACCAGCATGGGTCAGTATCCCGCCCAATTTTCCACCTATCAGCCTGGGCTTCTACCCAGGCACTTTGACACACATTCACACAGCCTGACAACAATCTTGTCCAAAAGGGTAGACATTTCCCCGCTTTCCCTGGGGGAAAACAGAGGAACGGCGAGGGTCAGTGCCATGGCCAAGGTCGCGGAAACCAGACTCCGGAATCCTTAGCATCCCGACGCGGGTATGCAACTCTGTGCCCCCCAATCTGGAAGGGTGGCGTCCACAGACCCCCCAAGACACGTCTGCCAGGGCCAGGCCAGGGAGCGGGCCCGCAAGCCCCTGGCTGCTGACAGCCGGGCGGGAGGGGGCGAATGCGGCAGCCCGGAGGGCAGGGGCGGCGGCCGGGGCCGCCTGCGCCCCACAGAGCCCGGCCCGCTCCGTAGCCCCCGGGCCGGCGACCCCGCGCCCCCCGGTCCTGCAGACCGCGGCCGCGCGGCCCTCCCGCCACCCCTCCCCGGCGGGGCCCGGCTCGAGCAGCCCCCGCCAGGCCTCGCTCGCCCGCCCGCCCTGCTCACCTCGCCTCCCAGCCGCCGCGACAGGGGGAGGGCGGGCGGGCGGGCGGACTGGCGGCGCTGCGCACTGGCCGCTCGCGGCTCCGCTGCCCCGGGCTCGGCCGGCCGCCCCGCCCCGCTCCGCTCCGCCCCGCCGCCGCCGCCGCCTCTGCAGTGGGTGTGAGGGGCGCCGGGGCGCTACGACCCTTCCGGTCCGGCTCCCTTCTCCTCCTCCGCCGCCGCCGCCGCCGCGGCGCCCGACCTGACCGACCCGTGCGCCGACCAATCAGCGTGCGGAGAGCCGGGCAGGGGCGGCCAATCGCGCCAGGGGGCGGGTGGTGACAGGAGGCGCGGGCGGGGCGGCGGGCGGAGCCGGGATCTCGGTGTGGGGTTCCGTGGGGCTCGTTGCCCCTCGGCCGCCCAGCTGTTCGGGCCTGTGCGGGGCGCGCCCGGGGCTGGGGACGCAGGTCCGGATCAGTACGCGTGCTGAGTCCGCCATACCCCCACCGGGCCCGCGAGGTAGAGGCCCGACGCGGAGCCGGCAGGAGGCGGAGAAGGCCGACCCCTTCTGGGCTGCAGGTGCAGGGTGGCAGTGGCGAGGCGGCCTATAGGGGACTGGACTGGCCCGTTTGGAGGAGAGCACTGGGCGAGGGCGAGGGCGAGGGGATACCGGGGCCTTGGCATCCAGCGTCCTGGAACCTGGCATGGTGTGGCCCCCGTAAGGACAAGGAGACCGACGCGGCGAGGGAGCGGGAAGGAGATCTTGGACTCTGCGGCTTGCTATGAACGACTAGAGATCGGAGGGAGTGGGGTGCGGAGTGAGAGGAGATGGCCACGTACAGACTAGGGCCCCCGGCGGGTTCGTGACAGAAGGGAGGGAGGGGACTGGCTAGTGTATTCAGGGCAGGAGTCAAGCCTCTGACTCAGAGAAAGGCAAGGTCGTAAATGGGGAGAAGGGAATGCACTGCTAAGGTCCCCCTAGGGCCTGGGGTCCCCCTAGGGCCTGGGGTTCCTTGACACCGACCTTCTTTTGAGCCAACTTCTGCAACCCTCTGGCCCCTCGATCGGGTTCCAGCAGGCCTGGGGTCACGTGAAAAGATGAGAGGCCAGGGTATTGCTTGTTGCCAGATTTGCGTTTCAGTAAGCAAAGCTGGAAGTGAGGCAGGGAGGCTGGACACATTGAAAAATGATCAGAGGTTCGTGGAGGGGGGGGTGCACACTTTGGGAACAGGGAGAGTGGGGGGCCCTGGAGGAGGAGTAGCTTTCGCAGGATGCCAGAGCCCACCGGGTGACCAGGGCAGGGGCCAAAACGGGAAGAAGGAGCAGGACCCTACCGAGGGGGAAGTCGGGGCTGCACAGCATGGAGAGTGGTGGCGGAATTTGGGGAGGACAGAAAGCCAGTGATGCAGGTCCAGGCTGAGGGCATCAGGGCCTCAGAGGAGGAGGGTAGAGCAAGGGATCCAGGCATGGTGTCCTTCCTTAAGCCACCCACTACCTTGGCCACCAGAGGGAGTTGTCTAAGTTGAGTATGGCCCATCCTTTCTTGAATGTGATCTGCATTGAGGAGGGCCCACCTGGTGGGTTCCTGCCCACACTGGTCCTCCATCATCCTCATCTGCCACCATCTCCAGGTGCACAAGAGAAAACAGGGAGCCAAAAATTGCCATCATCAAGGATTATGGGAGACTAGCAAAGCCTGGCTGTTAGAGCTGTGGTTTCACTAAGGAGCACTTGTGGGTGCCTCCCCTTAGAATTGGAAGGGGTTCCCATTCCTACACACTCCCACCAAGTTTACAACACTCACTCCGTGAGAGGTGAGTACCAAAAGTCACTGAGCACACACATACAGACCTATACATATTTCATGCTGAGTTTTCTAAAAGTATTCTGCCTTTTCTGGTTTATGAAATACAGTGAACACTTAGGGACACAGAGCCGAGGTGATGTGGTGGGGAAGGGCCTAGTCCATGCTTGGAGGAGTGCACAGAATTTTGGTGGAGACCAAGTGAGATGAGAAGCGGGAGCCTGGGGCTGTGTGGGTATACACATGGGCATGACTGACAGCTCACCTACCCTGCTAGCTGGGGAGAAATAATTGAGGAGGACCTCCTGGGTAAGAGGAAGCCCTAGCCGAGGCTGGAAGGCCAGCAGGAATGTGTTAGGCCAGTGATTTAGGCAGAAAGGGCCCTGGGACCCAAAGATTCAGATGTAAGGACCTGTATGCTGTGGTCAGGAAACCAAGAGTCCCCCGGTCTTGCTAGCTATGGGGAAAGGTGGACTGGAGGGTGATTAGGGCCTTGAAGTGGACGGGTACACAGGCCCATAGGCTCGCTTCAGTTCACTGATATGCTTGTTTAGCCCAGTGTGATTTTTTTTATTGACTCAGTTACCAACATTTGTAAATTGGGAGCTTTCACTTGAAATTGGCAGTTCCTCTTGAACAGTTAGAATCTCTGGCGACATGGGGCCTGCGTTCCCAGAAGGCAGTGGTCAGCTGGAGCTGAGTGGCAGCTACCCCTTTAGGGGAGCCCCTTACATCATCACATCCCCTACCACTCCCTATCACCCCACTCTGGCCATGACATCACGATTCCTTACCTGCTGGCCCTTGGGACACTGCAGGGTAGGGGCTCCATCTCTGGAGGTCAAGGGCAGCTGTTGAGGGGTGTTAAGAAAGGAAGTGGAAGATGTGATTATTTTTATTTATTTATTTATTTATTTTTTGAGAGAAAGAGAGAGACAGTGCAAGCAGGAGAGGGACAGAAAGAGAGGGAGATACAGAATCTGAAGCAGTCTCCAGGCTCTGAGCTGTTAGCACAGAGCCCAATGCGGGGCTTGAACACACAAACCACAGGATCATGACCTGAGCCAAAGTCGGACACTTAACCGACTGAGCCATCCAGGTGCCCCAGATGTGATTAGGTATTTATTTTGGGAAGATCACTAGAGCACATGAAGTTTCGGGGATGAGGGGCTTATGTTCACAAGACCAGTTAGGGGGCTATTGCAAAGGCGCATGTAGGGGAAGGTAAGGCCTGGCCTGGAGCCAGGTATCAAGAAGGAACTGATTTTAAAATTGTTTCAAGACTTGAGGAAAATGAAAATTAAAGTCACAGCAAGCTACCACTACACACCCACTAGGCTGACTATGATAAGAAAAGATGGACAATATCAAGTGGTGATGAATGTGGGGCAATCAGAACTGCTTGTGAGAAAGCAAAATGGCATGTGTGCTGTGGAAGACAGTTTGGCAATTTCTGGTAACATTAAATATACACCTGTCCTATCACCCAGTAACCCTACTCCTGGATATGAAACTGAGAAAAATAAAGACATGTCCACACAAAGAGCTGTAGATAAATGTTTATAGCAGCTTTATTCAAAACTGTCAAAAGCTACAAACAGCCCATGTCCATATGTAATCCAGCGGATGGGTAAATAAACTGAGGTACATCCATACAGTGGGGTATTACCTGGCACCAAAAAGGACTGACCTGACAAATGTACAACGTGGATAAATACAAAAACATCATGCTCGGCACTTGGGTGTCTCAGTAAGTTTAAGTGTCCAACTTGCGTTCAGGTTATGACCTCACAGTTCGAGCCCTGCGTCAGGCTCTCTGCTGTCACCGCAGAGCCCGCTTTGGATACTCTGTGCCCCTCTTTCTCTGTTCCTCCCCTGCTTTTGCTCTCTCTCAAACCTAAATAAACATTTAAAAAATCATGCTAAGTGAAAGAACCCAAACAAGGCTACATCCTCTATGATTCTGTTTACAGGACATTCTGGAAAAAACAAAATCAGATCAGTGGTTGCTAAAGGCAAGTGGAGAAAGTGGGGGGATGACAACCAGGGGCCAGGAGGGAATGTTTTAGGATGATGGGTATACTCTATACTTCAATTATGGCATTAAGCCAGATCATTATATGTTTATCAAATTTTGGAACGGGGCACCTAAAAGAGGATGACTTTTCATATATGAAAAATTAATTAAATGTAAATTATACTAAAAAACTTGATGTAAAAAAAAGAAGTCCATTTAAGAGACAGAATTGTCCTGGGGCACCTGAGTGGCTCAGTTGGTTAAGTGTTGACTTTGGCTCAGGTCATGATCTCACAGTTGATGATTTTGAGCCCCACGTATGCCTTTGTGCCGACAGCTCAGAGCCTGGAGTCTGCTTTGGATTCTGTGTTTCCCTCTCTTTCTGCCCCTCCTCTACTCTCTCTCTCTCTCTCAAAAATAAATAAACATTAAAAGAAGGAGGCAGGATTGCCCCTCTTAGAGGTAGGATATAGGGGTGAGGCAGGAGGAGGGGTCAGGGAGGATGCCATGATTCCTGGCCTGATTTTTGGAGCGGGGACCTCCAGCCTTGGCCTACTCACCCACCTGCGGAGAAGAAGGACTTACTGAACATGCATCCCACCTGCTTTCTGTTGCCTTCCCCTTTCCTGTCACCTTCAGCCTTGAAGCCCTGGCTATGTGCCCTCTGAGATGAAGGCCACTGGCTGTTCCTTCTTCCTGAGTCCTCACCGCTCACTGCCCCTCCATTCCCTGCCTTTCACTTGGCTCCTTTATGGCACAGTTGACAGATAGCACCCACCTGACAGATATTGCCCACTTCTCTCCCCCACAAAGGAGAAGAGAGCACAGGAGGGAAGGAAGAAGAGCTCAAGCTCCACTCCCTGGCCTGGGTGTACCAGGGGGCATTAGAGGCTGGTCGAGGGGTCACAGTGCTGACAGGTTTCCATGGCTCCAATATCATCATCCACTTTTGCCTTGACTGGGTTCCCATTGGGGTTTCTGCTTTGTTGTGCTCTTGTGGGTGGGAGGTTGCTTCCTCGAGCCTCAGTTCCATGAGGAGTGGGCATGGGTGGTGACCCCTGCCTGATGAGGCTACTGTGGGTCTCAGGAAGAGAAGTACCAAGCTCGGGCACAGAATGTGCACACAGAGACAGTGAGTGTCCTCGTGCTGGCCTCCTCTGCTCCCCCCACACCTTGCCTACTCTCCCTCCACTCCCCCATTCCCTCCCCACCTCCTCCCCAACCCTGACCAGGACCCAATGTGCCAGGGGATGCAAGCCAAGACTGTTCCAGTTGTGTGCTGGAGAAAGCCAGGCCACACTGAACCCAATGGGGACAACTATTGGGAGGTTCTTGCATTGTCGCACCTGGGAGAGTATGGGTGGAGCCGGCCCTGCGACCACAGCCTAGGAACCCAGCCAGCGCCTTGGAAG